TAGAGGAGATTTTGGAGAAAAAAAACTCTTGAAAGGAGTGGCAGGAAGTTCAAAATTGGTGAAATTCGGAGCTCGTGAACATGTTAGGAAAATGAGGAAGGGGAAGGGTCGTACCAGGGGAGGCAAGTTCGAGGGGGGGGGTCGTGTTTTGCAAAGTTTCTTCCCAACCGCAGGACGTGCCTAGCTGTGATGGCAATGGTTTGCTCTAACATTTGTCATCGACTCCCGTCGTCGGCTCTGCCAAGTCAATTCTACATATCTACTATTTCCAGAGAGGCTGGAATTGATGGGATTAAACTAAATAGGGTCAAGTGGTGGAAAAAAAGCAAGGTGATGGTGTCAATACACCGCAAAGATCTCCCCTGCAAAAGCCGTCTTTCCTACAGTTTAATCCATGTTGGTCGTTAAGGTGGAGTTGTTGCGGCATTATACTCCTTTCATTGGCAGGACTCTACCTCCAAAATAGGTGAGAGTAGAAATGCACCAATGAGGAAATAGCAATGGTTAGTGCGACTCCGCCCATACGATTATCGTGGAATGTGCCTTTCAAAGTTGAATTATTTGTGGTCACCTTTCTGATTTTCTTCACTCTCTGTTGGATTTTCTTCGGTACAGGATCGTCAACCAGCTTTCCGTCTAGGAACTTTAGCTGAACCACATTCACTTCGCCCAGATTATCGCTATCTTTCGGTAGATTCAGAAATGGCGATGCGTAGAGAAGCCTTCGAGGTTCAGACTGTAATCAGCAGAGTCTTCAGAGTTCACAGTTCTTGGTTTCACTCCCCACATGAGAACCAAAACTAACCTTTTCGGGATGTTTTTTGAGCCTCGGTCTGGTTTTCTTGTAGGCTTTAATGTAGCTTTTGATCTTGGCAATGGCTGCATCGATGGCATGAGACTGCGTTCCGAGCATGTCCGATAGATAGACGGGCTTTTGCTCTGAGGAAATAGGAGATGGAACCACCCAGGCTGGCTGAAAGCAAAATATCAAAGAACTATCGGTTCTTCGCATTCCTTAACATAATTGTTGTTGGAGGAGCATTCCACGCTGATGAAGTGGGCGGTCAGGCCTATTGACTCCCTGCTGGTGCGCCCACCTTCTTAGACAACGAAAAGGCCAATGATAGGAGCACAATGGCTAGGCCTGACTCCGCCCACATCGATAGCCTCAACTGTACGTCACTTCTTCCCCCCACCCCCCCCCTACAGGTTGAGCCTTGAGGGTGAGGTGTGGGACATTGTTATCTCGAGGCTTCAACTCCACACTACCTTCCCCCAAGTTTTTTTTTGCAGTTTCGAACACTTCTGCAAAAGAGTATTCTATGCTGATGGAGTGGGCGGAGTCAGGCCTATTTCGTTCCCTCCAGAGAGCGATTGATTTGGCAATGGAAACCCGCAAACCATCGCTGACGGGCCCAGTTGGATCAACAATACCCACTCATTATGCGCTTTCACCGGCAAGGTGGTCGCTCCTTTCCTCAGGCCCAGCCTTGAAGGATCGGGGGAGGGGGAGGAACAGACGTTTCCTCATCTCGTGGCTCTCAGTTCTACTTACCTCTATTCGCAACTTTTTTCGCAGTTTAAAGAGATTTTCTGCAAAGAAGTGTTCTACGCTGATGGAGCGGGCGGGGTCAGGCCTATTAACTGTCCTCGAGAGAGCTAATTTGGCAATGTAAACTCGCAAAACATCGTTGACAGGCGTTAGATCAACAATACCCACTCATTATGCGCTCTAACCGGCGAAGTGGTCGCTCCTTTTCCTCAGGAATGGCCTTGACTGGTCGGGAGGGAGAAGGGGCAGGGGGGGTGGAGGGGAGGGCTGGTAACATTGCCTCATTCGTAAGCTCCATTTTTAATTGCCTTTACTCGCAACTTTTTTCGCAGTTTTAATAAGATTCTTTACGAAAGAGTATTTCACGCCGATTGAAGGGGGCGGAGTTAGGACTATTACCTGTATCTAAGCGAACAATTAACTTAACGACGAGGACTTGCGAAAGATTCGTCGACGGGCCAACTTAGTCACTAGTACGCACTGATTCATTGCCGTCCCACCTAAAAAATGCCGCTTCTTGGCGCAGGCCAGTCTGGGGGAATCTGGGGGAGTATGGGGGGAGGGGCGGAGGGAGGTGGGGAAAGGCCAGGATATTGCCTCACCGTGGCTCCATTTACTAACTTACGCTTTGCGCCCGAGCCGATTTTTAGCAGTTTTCATTGGGTTTTTTCTTCACTTACTGGTGGCATTTCAGTTGTCCTTGCAGCTGACGCCGACTCAATAGGAGCTATGGGGAGCTTCCATAGAATTCCACGTTCGTTAGTGGGAGGACCAATAAATGACTTTTCGCCAAGTCGCTCTGTCGTCTCATTCTTTTGGTCGTTATCTCGTCCAATTATTCGTGAGGTGACACCAAATGATCGGTGCAGTACACGATGTAAGTTTGGACGATAAGAACGTTCCCTGAGTCGGTGGCGGTGGCGATAATTCTGAAATTGAGTACTTTATCAATAACGAATCGATAATCGATACTGCTCAGACATTACCGTATTCTCTATCGGTATAGGATTCGGTAGTGATTCAGCAAATGATCTTTCCATGGTGGAGAAACCCTCTGGTAATCCTGAAATGATTTCTATTACTGATCCCCAGGCTGATTCCCATACCAGTAGCCAGTCCGCGGCCACCTTCCAAATATCAAAGTTGCGCTCTCCGGGTCCGGTTGCGCGCCTCGATTTCGTCCTGATGGCAGGTAATTTTAGCGACTATGCACGACTTTCCCCTTCGGAGAGGCTAAATCGAGACTGACTCCTGACTTGGGATTAACAGGTGAGCGTTCTTTTGGAGAACTCGTGTCGTTTGAGGAACGCTTCACGGGCTAGGCTCGAACGCCTTTGGGTGAAAGTGGCGAAAAATTCCGCCAGAGTCCAGCTGGGACAACCTCGGAGGCCCCTCATTTCTAAATTCGTAATGTGTTTGTTACGTCTGATTCGCTGCGGATGAAGGGGCGTGCAAGGCGGGATCGGTTGGCGCGACGCCAAGCCCGTTTTTCACCATTTTTGAAGCGGGCAACCGACAAGACTGTATCGTATCAGCTCGTGTCAGTTGTTTCCTACCAATTGTTGCCGTTTACACGCTCCAAAAACTGGTGGAGAGGGCCGGCAGCGCGCCAGAATCATTCCGCCAGATGACCCCCCCCCTTCACCCCTTAATCCGCTGAACACCGGACCCCGACGGAACATTCCGTGGTAACGGGATGGGCGGAGACAACTATTGCACCTACCCCATTCGTTGGCACCTCTGTTTTGCTGCACTAAAACGAAGCAGGGCAGGAACTATAGTTTGTCTCACAATTAGATCCCATCCGTTTATCGCGGAATGTCTCTCTGATCCCCTTTTCACAGACGAAAGTGAAAGGGAAGCCGTTTGGAGCCGATTGATCCTTCGATCCTCGTTGTCCGGTGTCCCCCGCCAT